ACCAGAAGAAATCTTCCACGTAGGCTGTGAGCTGCTCGGACTCGGTTGGCTCCCAGGAGAAGCCAGGAACACCAGAGTGGTGGATCATGGCTATAATCCTTACGGTGGATAGACAGGAGGCTATTCCTCTCATGGAAGATCGTCACGGCGGCACGGGCACTGCTCTCACGACGCTAGTCGCACGACCATATGGCGGTCACAACGTTGGATAACTCACACTCGGCATTCTCACGATAGACACTCACTCTCACTCTCACGATGGCGATGGTGGCAGTGGTGGCTACTCTCACTCTCATCCTCAATTATCATAGTCGAATATTCGTCTAGCAGTTTTTGACGTACGGACGCGTGGTACGGTTAGCGTGAATTAGTTAATTACCTTATCCTTTAGTACTACACAAGGACATACTTTGCTAGTGAACCGCGAGAGAGAAAATGCGATGGCCTGGCAGTGATCCGCGCTTTCGAATCGATCGGCGCAGCAGCGCGAGCTCGAGAGCGAAGCTTTTTCTCGCGAGGAATGTGCCCCGGTGTTGGAGGATCGTAGCTCCAGAGAATCGCCCAATCCATCCACAGAAGCTCCGGACCCTCCGGACATTCCATCGGCGAGGCAAGGCGATCCGAGGCCAGCGCGCGATGATCGCCCAGCAGCAGCAGCAGCAGCAGCAGGGAGAGAAGATGATCAAGAAGAGGAGGAAGAGGTACGGGGCCAAGTTCGCCATCCCCACTGGCTTCGTCTACCGCAAGGTCTGGGACGTGGATCTTGATCCCATCCTCGCGGAGCCCAGCGCGCGACGGATCCTGGCCGCCCTGGGCCTGGACGAGTTCGCGGCGCAGCCCCTCCCGCCCCTCGATCGCTCCCTCTGCGACGAGTTCCTCACAAATTTCGATCCTTGGAACTCCAGCGCCATGGTCAGAGGTGAGCGCGTGGTGATCGATGCCGCCAGCGTCTCTGCGGCCACCAGGCTCCCGATCGGCGACGATGGTGGCGAGATCTCGACCTCGGCAGTGCTGACCAAGGAGGAGAGATCGGCCTTGGGCGCGATCGTGCTCGATCTCAAGGAGTACAGCTCTCGCGGCTACTCTGTGGATGCCCTTGTTCTTGGCGAGAATGTGGAGGCGTGGAAGGCGATTTGCATGATGCTTATGGTGAAGCTCGTCGCCCGCCGCGAGTGCTTCCATTGCGTGCCGGTGGAGGTCCTCCTCGCGCTGGATCGATCGTACAAGCTCGGTATCAAGATGCGATGGGCGGAGTACCTGGGAAAGATGATCGCCCGTGGCGCGAAGACGAGCTCCAGGAGGAAGAGCACGTTTGCTCACGGCGAGTGGCTCACTGGGATCATCAAGAACAAGCTCGGGCAGCAAGATCAAGGTCGCGTGGAAGAGGATCACAAGCTCGGGCAGCAAGATCGCGCGGAGAAGGATCACGCGGGGGTGCTCACGGATAAGATGGTGATCGCGGAGGACGTCCACTCGAGCATCCAGCGCAAGCAGCAGTGCGATGCCAGCGTCCAGACGATGATCCAGGAGGAGAATAGAGATCGTGTGATCATCGCCAGGCAGAGAGAAGATATTCGATTGCTCCGCGGCGAGGTCGAGAGGGGACGAGCGATGGTGGCGTCGCTGAGAGACAAGTATTTGAAGATCAAGCAGGAGGGTATCACTCCACCGCGCAAGAAGATAGCCGATCACGATCAGAGGTAACTTGAGTTCTTGCGAGGTTCTTTGCGAGTTCCACGATCTTTGGAAGAACTGATTTTGCTTTCTCTTTTTTTGGGGGGGTTTCGTCCTGACAGCATGGTTTCGGCTCCAGTGGCAGCGGCTGGCAGCAAAAGGTAGGAGCAAAGATTTTGGCTCAAGTTCTTCATTCTTTCTCTTGTGTTCTTCTAGTTTTCGTGAAGAATGGATTGCCCCGTTTGATGAGGATGTGGAAATGGAGGACGCTTTTCCTCCTCCGCTACCATCTTCGCCGCCGCCTCCTCTCCCATCCTCGCCGCCACCCGATCGCTAAAGTATGATCGAGAGATTCCCTGCAATGCCCTCTATGGGCATTTGCTGCTGCAAGTGGAGAGTTTGTCACCTTTTCGAATTTACCAGCATTTGCTGCCTCTGATGTATAGTTGGTTCTTGAGTATTTTCCCGACGCGCGGTATCAGAAAATCCCTGGGATCGACTTTGATCGCCAGCAGCCGCAGGTAATGTTCTCCAAACAGGGATCTTCTGGGCATCCACATGATCAAAATATTTCACAGCTTGGATCACCGAGTGAAGCAATGTCTTGAGGGAAATTTTTTTGATAAATAAAATTACTAAATTCTGTTCATTCGTGAGGTTTCACTTTAATAGCAAAGAGTGATTGAGCTTCAGACCTGAGAATTCCATCACCTGTGCTAAAACATTTGAGAGGACTACTTCTTTCTGCAACATTGAGATTCACTGGTTCTCTATCGTCAGTAAACTCGGCCATCCATGTGTTAATTATCTTGTCTAATAATAGTTATACTATTTCTGTTAAATAAGTTAATAGATATATGTCCACTTTTCAAATTATAAATAAGATATGGAAATTTGAATATAGGCTAAACAAGATCTTTTGCTACTTGAAAAGTTATTGTAAGTAGTGACTAATAATATGATAAACTATTTATAACTTTATGAATAGTTAGAAATTATAAGAAACAGTTTCAAAATGATTGTGAGTTGTAATATATATAGACACACACACACACTGAAACATTTACACCAGTTATTTCTATAATTCTTGTAAGAATGAATACTAATATATCATATTTTGAATATTTTGCATACGAAACAGCTTTAACATTTTTAAATATAAATCCTATTATGGTTGTAAGTGCTCTTATAAATTGTATTGGAATTGCACTTCCTTCAGGACAATATACACTAATAAACTCAACTCTGCCAATGTCTTATTTAATAAGAACTAGATTACTAACAACAATTGATTTACGTATTTTTATTTTTACAAATTTTGTAGACTGTGGTGTTAATTCTCAAGTTAAGGCATTAGTCGAAAATAATCAAGTAATGAGAAGAGCTGGTGCAGATATTGTTCCAATAATTTTGACAAATAGCCCAGCACATTTTTTAATGATTGTTTTTGATCCAGAGGTTGGAATATTTGGTTTATTATACAGTGTAAGAGGTTTCTTTCCAAAATCTCCATCTAATACTGCTGAAGTATTAACAAAAATTCCCTTTTATTGCAACCCACTAAATACAAGGCTTATAAGTGGGTATAAAGATATGCCATTAGCAACATTAAAAGCTGGACAAGAATTAATTGATTATATAAAACGTTTTACAATAATAATGCAATATGATTGTAATATTGTATTTTATATTAGTGCTAATGTTTTTTGGAGTACAAAAACGTATGGGAAAAGTTTTGATTGTAAATTGAGATTGCAAGAAGATGGTAATCTTGTTTTATATGGTGCTTTTGATATAACTAATTATTGGTCAAGTAAAAGTTACTGTAGAAAATATAATTGTGCTGTACTATCAGAATTTCATGTTCAAAAAGATTGTAATTTAGTCATTTATAGAGATGGAAAGCCAAATATACTAACATGTTCAAATGGTAAAGTTTGTTAACCATGATTACAATATAGTATAATACAAGTATTATATAGTGATAGTAAACATTTCTAATATTTTAAATGTATTCTAGACTGATTGATATTTGTTTAAACTTTCAATCTTTGGTACAAGAATAAGAAACACAGTTTATATTGTTGACAATATTCACGTGGAATCTTGACGTGGAATGTTATTGTTATAAATTTATAATTTTAGATGATTTAAATATTAAACAATAATCTACTGCACATCAATGCTTGGTATAAATAATAGTGTTATTTATATTTATTAATCTAATTGATCAAATGCAAGTTTATACTTATAAAAATGTTTATAATTTATAAAAACAAGATTAATCTTATTTAAAATAAGCTAAAATATACTAGGAAGTGTCTAGGAAACTTTATAAATTATAAATATAAAATTAATCTAAATAAATAACAACCGTTAGATGGTAGACCTAGAACATCCAAGCATATGCTCAGTATATCCACTTCTCCCTTAAGCAAAAAAATCTATAAATATTAATTATTATTAATTTAAAAATTTAAAGTCTTAAGATAATTTATCCAATAAAAAAAATTAAAAATCCTGGTTACATTTATGTTTAATTGCTTTGACATGAGCTTAGTGATGACATTTGTCAGCGAAATGTTGAGCCGAGAATGGCAACCACAGTGATCCATCCCATTTTCTTTGTTTCCCTTTCTTAGACCGAGAGGAATTCAAGCACAATTCTTTCTGGATCTTGGATGCACTGGGAGTTGTGTGAGCTCCACTGGGCTGAATTTCCTTTTGTTCCTTTGCAATGGTCATTCCATTCCCTTGGTCACTCTTTCCTCATCATTCCTCTACACTTTCCATACATATTTCTACAACTCCTCCATAGACTGATTTAGAATATAATTATGACAGTGCCCTAATCTTCTTTTACGTACTAGTCCACAATATGTAGTGAAACGAGAATAAAAGAATTAATTTGTCTATAAGATCACATCTAGATTTTCTGAACAAGAGTAGATGTAAAAAACACAGTCTTTGATTTTCTAGACGTATAACTGGCAAGGTTTGACAATGTCTGATCAACGCGCAAAAAAGAGCACTCACATAGCAAGAGTCAGACCTTAGAAGTTTTCCAGTGTCAAAGCCCAAAGTGCGGTTCTTTTGTTTTTGGCGGCCGCTCAGAGTAAGATTTTCCTGGATGAACACAAGAACAAGTCCCCGCGGAAAGCCACAGTATATAAAAAAAGGAGCAAACAATTCGTGCTCACATCATTTGCTCCATCCGTCGATCATTCGAAGCGTTTGACAAGAGCTCTATCGTTCCGATAGCTACAATTTCTTTACGAGTTCATGTCAGGAAAGAAGAAAAGGTTGTACGTTGACATCACACAGCCATGAAAACAGCCGCGCTACCTCTGCTCCTCATCGTGATCGTCGCATTCCAGTTGGCTCAATCCTTCCGGCCTCCATGCCAATGCACAGCCTTCGATCGCCACTGCTGGCCCGACTCTCAATCCTGGGCCACCTTCAACGCCTCCATCGATGGAAAGCTCATCCGCGTGGTTCCTCCGGCCTCTCCTTGCCACGATCCAGCTTTCAATCGGCGAGCCTGCCGAGAGGCACGCCAGCGATGGAGCTTCCCGTTCTGGAGGGCGGACCAGCCGGGAGCCATGCAAGCCAGCAACTGGGAATCAAACGGTATCACCGATCGCTGCTCGATAGACTCCCCTCGAAACTCAACGTGCTCGCAAGGCTCGGTGCCAATCTACACAGTAGCAGCGAGAAAAGCCTCCCACATCCAAGCAGCGGTGGGATTCGCGGCCGCCAGGAACCTCCGCCTCGTCGTCAAGAACACCGGTCACGACTACCTCGGCCGGAGCACCGCCGCGGGAGCGCTGAGCATCTGGACACACCAAATGAAAAGCATGAGATTCCACCACCGCTTCCTCCCGAGAGGATGCTCTCGCCGATCGAAAGACGCAACGTACCTCCCGGCAGTGACGGTCGGCGCTGGAGTCCAGTGGGAAGAGCTCTACCAGGCGGTGTTTGATCGCAAGTTCGTGATCGTCGGCGGTGGATCGAGCTCGGTGGGAGCTGCCGGAGGCCATCCCCAGGGCGGAGGCCACAGCCCACTCTCGCCAACTTTCGGCCTGGCCGCGGACAACGTCCTGGAGTTCTCGGTGGTGACCGCGGATGGGAGCCTCGTCGTTGCCAATCGCTGCCAGAACCAGGATCTCTACTGGGCGATGCGCGGCGGCGGCGGTGGAACGTTTGGCATCGCGGTCACCGCCACGCACAGGCTCTACCCGGCGCTGGACAGCCTCGTCTTCGCGCAGTACAACCTCTCAACCCCGGACAAGCCCAGCTTCCAGCGAACACTCGCTCGATTCACCGAGCTCCACCCCTCGCTCGAGCGCGCCGGCTGGGCGGGGACCTTCGCGATCACCAACACCACCGGGCTCACGCTCTCGTATCTCCTCCCAAACCGCGGCATGGAGCTCGCCAACGCCACGCTCGCGGCACCGCTGGAAGAGCTCGCGCGCGAGGACCCCCAGCTCCGATCCAGCGGGAGCCTCCAATCCTTCCCCTCGTTCCAGGAGTTTCGATTGGCGATCCAATGCCAGGGGCGATCGAGCTGCCGCGATGTGGACACCGCCAACACCGGCATCGCCACCGCGGGGATTCCACTGCTCCTGGCGTCGCGGCTCATTCCAAGGACAACGGTCGCATATTCGCCGGGGAATCTAGCCGAGGTGATGGTGCGCATCCGGGAGCTCTTCCCGCGCGTGTCCCTCACTGGCGTGTTCGTCGGGGGCGGCGCCGTGAGCCGCGACGATCGAGACAATGCTGTGAATCCCGCGTGGCGCCGCGCGCTGTGGCATGTGATCCTCGGCAGAAGCTGGAGCGACGGAGACGATCGAGCCGAGCAGCGCGCCAGGGCGGAGCTGAGCGCCGCGAATGCGATGCTCATCGATCTCACGCCCGGATCGGGGGCGTATGGGAACGAGGCGGATTTCAGTGAGCCCCAGTGGCAAGAATCTCTGTTTGGAGAACATTACACGAGGCTGCTGGCGATCAAGAAGAGAGTCGATCCGGCGGGGATTTTCCGATGCCACCACTGCGTCGGGAGCGAGGAGTGGAGCGAGGATCTTCTATGCGCCACGCGATAGTCCTGTGAATACTCAAGAACCCTAAAAAAGGGGTTCTTAATTGTTGGTAAAAATCCAATAAAAGGAGAGGTAAAAACTCCACATTGATTGCTCCTACCTTTTGCTGCCACCCGCTGCCACTGGAGGCGAATCCATGCTGTCAGGAAGAAACCCAAGAAAAAAAGAGACCAGTTCTTCCAGAGATCGTGGAACTCACAAAGAACCTCGCAAGAACTCCAAGTTACCTCTGATCGTGATCGGCTATCTTCTTGCGTGGTGGAGTGACACCCTCCTGCTTGATCTGTCTCTCAGCGACGCCATCATCGCTCGGACCGAGACGAAGCCACCTCTTCCTCTTGATCATCTTCTCGCCCTGCTGGGCGATCATCGTGCGCTGGCCTTGGATCGCCTTTCCTCGCCGATTGTCCCGAGGGGTTTCTTTGGATGGATTGGGCTATCAAACTCCCCCGCGAGAAAAAGCTTCGCTCTCGAGCTCGCGCTGCTACGCCGATCGATTCAAAAGCGCGGATCACTGCCAGGCCCTCGCATTTTCTCTCGCGATATTGTGGTAAAGAATAGGGCACAACCGATGTATGAAAAGCGTAGGAAAGAGTGACGAAGGGAATGGAGTGACCATTGCAAAGGAACAAGAGGAAATTCAGCCCAGTGGAGCTCACACAACTCAAGATCCAGAAAGAGTACTGCTTTTAAGTTTAATTAGGCAATATATTTGGATGGGATCTAACATCTAACATTTGTTATTTATTTAGATTAAACTTGTATTTATAATTTATAAACTTTCCTAAACTAGTATATTTTAGTTTATTTTACCATTTAATGGTTGATATGCAATAAGATTAATCTTGAGTATATAAATTATATACATGTTTGTAGCTTTAAACTTGCATTTGATCAATTAAATTAATAAATAAAAATAACATTACTATTAAGAAAACCAAATGTTGCTACATACAATACACAGTAAATTATTATTTAATATTTAAATTATCTATACTGATAACTATATAATAATGAGTCAAGATTCCATGTGAAAATTGTCAACAATATCCACTGTGTTTCTTATTCTTGTATCAAAGATTGAAAGTTTGAACATATATCAATCAGTCTAGAATATATTTAAAATATTAAAATTGTTTAATAGCACTATATAATAATCATATTATACTATATTGTAATTATGGTTAACAAACTTTACCATTTGACCATGTTAGTATATTTGGATAAATGACTAAATTACAATCTTTCTGAACATGAAATTCTGACAGTATAGCACAATTATATTTTCTACAGTAACTTTTACTTGACCAATACATAGTTATATCAAAAGCACCATATAAAACAAGATTACCATCTTCTTGCAATTTCAATTTACAATCAAAAATTTTCCCATACGTTTTTGTACTCCAAAAAGCATTAACACTAATATAAGATATAATATTACAATCATATTGCATTATTATTGTAAAACGTTTTATATAATCAATTAATGCTTGTCCAACTTTTTATACCCACTTATAAGCCTTGTATTTAGTGGGTTGCAATAAAAGGGAATTTTTGTTAATACTCTAGCAGGATTAGATGGAGATTTTGGAAAGAAACCTTTTACACTGTATAATAAACCAAATATTCCAACCTCTGGATAAAAAGAAATCATTAAAGAATGTGCTGGCTTATTTGTCAAAATTATTGGAAGAATATCTTCTAAGTACATTCACTACTTGATTATTTTCGACTAATGCCTTACCTTGAGAATTAACACCAGTCTACAAAAGTTGTAAAATAAAAATACGTAAATCAAGGTTTCTTCTTAATGTATTTCCCATTAAATAAGACATTGGCAGAGTTGAGTTTATTGGTGTATCTTGTCCTAAAGGGCAATTCCAATAAAATTTATAGTCAATGTCCTCAACACTAAAACCCTAAATCCTGCTTTACACTGCTTTCCAGTCAATGAAATTTGTGTGTGAATGACATTTGGGCAATGTTATTGTGTTTGCAGTTGCACACATAAACCTCAGCCCATGGAATGTTTAGTTGTTTTGGGGGCTAGCTAACTATTTTAAATCTTTAAAGTTATGACCGTCTTAAATTCAAATTTTGTTGTTAAGATCATTGCCAGAACTTCTCAATTACACTCGTTTAAGCTATTCCTCTTGGCATTGTCCTTTCAATTGTGGCATGGTTGGTTAGCTGCAAAGAAAACATTAGTTTGTAGTTCCAGGAAGAAGACAGGAGTTACCGCTTGGATATTACACGCACTTCTTATGCTTGATAAGCCATGCTCGGATCGTCCTGTACCATCCGTATTGTATGAAGAGCGAGATGATTCGCGTGACCGGAAGGAAGACAATCTCTGCAAGACTGTAGCAAACAGACATGTGTGGAGACATGCCTGTGCAAAGGATGGCGAGAAGATGGCCATCAAAGTTGCAAGAAACGTTGAACCTCCCTGCTCTGATCCCGTCCATGGCTTTTCTTGCGACGTCGATCGCCACCATCGCACTGGAGGACTCAGACAAGATCTTTGTTATCTCCGGTTTGAACTTGTTCTCTGCATTCACGAAAGAACCACTTTTAACACACGAGAAGAGGAGAAAAAGAGGAAGAGAAAAGGCATACCTTCTCGGAGTCCGGGAGTGTCTGTGTCAGGAGGATAGATGACCGAAATCTGGATCTTCCGGAGGAAGAGCTCTTGTTTGAGGCTCTCCGCGAATTTTACCAGCGCAACCTTTGCTCCCGAGTAGCATGCGAATCCATAAATTCCAGCCTACGAAAGAAGAAGACCGTGATAGAAGACCAAAAGAAAAGAAGTACCTGGGCCGCTTGAGAAGAGAAGATCGCAATGCTGCGAGGATACACCCCGCCATCTCTCACCATCCCTGGCAACGCGGCCTTGACCACATTCATCGTCCCCATGAAATTAATCCCCACCACCGTGTCGAGATCCTCGTCTCTGGCATCCTCAAACGCGCAAGGAATAGAAATCCCGTGGCTGCAAACCAGCACATCCACATCCCCAGCCTCAGCCATTGCCCTCCGCAGCCCTGCTCGATCCAAAACATCGGCACTGACAAATCCCACCTCCGTGTCACTCGATCCACTCACAGCCGCCGCGACCGCATCCCTGGCCTCCTTCAACCTCTCGACATTCCGCGCCAAGAGCGTCACCTTGCGCGCGCCCTGCGCAGCGGCAATCTTCGCGAGCTCAAGCCCGATCCCGCTCGATCCACCAGAAATAAGAATGTGCCTGCCACGGATCTCCACCGGAGACGACGGCACCTTGAGAACCCACAGCGCGAGCAGCACGATCGGGAGCAGCAGCAAGATCGCTAGAACGAACACCATCGCCAAAGCCCATAAACCCTAAATTCCCCACAAGCCCTAAAACTCCAAGTAGTGGATTATACAAAGAAATGTACACTTAAAGCGACAAAATTACCAACATAAATAAAGAACGTTAGAAAGGACGTCCCGTTACAGTGCTACCACTCTGGTCTTCTTCTTCTTCTTTACTTCTCTCTTCTCTTCTCATTTCTTCTCCCCATCCTCCACAGGGTACAAAAGTTATTACACTATTTACGTCTGCAAACAACACAACAGAGAACACAAATTTACACTTTAGTTGCAAGAGGAAAACTTTTGCTGTGCCTGTTTGGTGTGACGATTTCTCGCTCGCTTAGATCGTCGCGTGAGCAGCAGCGCCACGCCTCTCTGGAAGGGAAATCTCGAGACGCATTAGCTCTCTCTCAAACTTTAGAGCAAACAAAGCTATAACAAGAGAGAAAGCTTGGTTCGTACCTCCAGCAGCCACGAGCTTCTCCACCCGCGCAACGATGTGCTTGCCATAAGTGTACTTTTTTAGAGCGTGGAGGTGGACTTTGATACGACCCAGGAGCATCTCTCGTTGCTGGTCACTGCAAGTCTCCAAAACCTTTTGCACCACGTAGTTTGCAAACTGGTCCTTCATCATCGCCTGCGTGGAGTGGAGCCGAGCGTGAGCAAAACGAAAAACTCTCTCTTGCTGTTCATCTCTTTACCTGTAATGGCGCGTTCTCGTCCGTGGTGCCAAGCATCTCATCCACCAAAATTTGCCGCTCCGCCGGCCCCCCAAACTCTAGGCACTTCTCCACTACATTCGAAGCGAACTTGTGCTGGCTCATCTGTACAATCTGCCCGGCCAGCTTAGTTATTATCTCGCTCCTCTCATGGGGTTTCCCATGTTCCAAAACGTGCTGCACAAAATTTACAACAAACAATCAAAAACAGAATCCGCAATAAAGCCACCTTGGACTTACCTGAATTACGTAATTCCCATACTGATCCTGGGCTAGACTGCAGGTGGCGCCCAGGATTTCTTCCATGATTCCTGCCTGTTTCTGATCGTCTGTACAGTGCTCCAGAACTCTCTGCACCAACGTAAAAGATTTCACTCCAATGATTAACTCCCCAGAGCAGTCTTTTCGTAAGTTACCTGAATCACCCGGCATCCATACGGATGAGTCGAGAGGACGAGTACTTGACCATAGAACGCGGATATGATAAACTGTATTTTGTCCGGCGGGACACATTCAATACATTTCTGAATGACATGATTCCCGTTTTGGTCTCGCACACATCGCATGACATGCCCATCCAGTTCTACTACGAGTTGAGTTTGTTGGTCCACATCACAGACCTCCAATGCCTACACAAACATATAGCAAGCTCTTTGTCTGTCTACAACTTTAAAGAGAAACTATGCATACCTTTTGTATGACACGACAGCCATACATCTGCAAGCTTAGCTCCAACATATGACCAACGAGTAAATTTGCAAGCTCTCTGCGCTGCTGAGAGTTGCCATGTTCAAAAAACTGCACAAGGAGGGACATGTAAGATCGTTCAGTTCTTACGTGCAAAAACCATACCTTCTGGATCACATAGTTTCCGAAAACATCTGTCATGAGTGTAAACGCCTGAGGCAGAACCTCGTCAAAGACCATGGCTTTCTCCTCCGCAGTCGCGGCCTCCAGCTTTTGCTGAATGAAACGGCTACCGTGTTGATCGGCACTGTTAAAGAAGATACTCAGTTTCTCTCAACAACAAAAACTCCACTTTGAATACCTGAATTCCACAACGTGTCCCGCAATGTCGGAGAGCTCGAACCGGCGGCTTTTACTGCTCTTAAACTCTTCCAAAAGAACAGATCCTCTGATGTCGTCACCCAGATCACTTCCACGCTGCCAGCCATAATTTAGACCCGATCGCAGAGACGCCAGTGCTTCGCGATGAAGAACGCTTGATGAAGCCGAGGTCGAGCCGAGTGACGAGTAATACGGTGGAACAGTCCGCCCCCCGTAGTACAAAGGATTCGGCTTCAGTGAGCTAGAAGAAGCACTCCTACCAAAATGATGCTTGTGATCCCCAATGTATCCCAGGTCGGAAGATTCGGACTGCAAATAATTGCGCAAAGCAACTTCGTCCGCAGCACGTTGCAGATACTGCAGATATAGAGCCTCCTGAAGCGAGCTCGACGAAACCCCGCCATCAACTTGCTGCTGCTGCTGCTGCTGCTGCTGCTGCTGAGCATATTTGTACAATTGCTGCCTGTCGATGCCACCAGAGGCACCTGCCAGTGCCGACCGTGCACTGAGCCTCGCTGCTGCGTTGTCGAACAAAGCGTTTGGAGACGAGTACGTGCCTCCCATAAGTGGAGTCGACTGATAACCACTTAAACCATACTGTTGTTGGCCGTAGACGGACTGCAAGTTCTGGTAGTAAGGATTTCCAGCAGCTATATACGACATGGCTGCGGCGGCGGCGGCGGCGGCAAACGCGTTGGAGTTCGAACTTCCAGGCTGAAGAGGCGGCGCCGTTCCGGCCTCGTTGGAAAGGCCAAACTGCTGCATCTGATCCTCGAGAAATTCCGTGTACGTTTGTGACGAAGGCTGCTGTACAGGTGCACGCTGAGAGCGTCGCTGATGCTGATGCTGCTGCTGGCGATATCGCATTTGACTGTGTTGGTCTCCTCCCTTGTCACGCTGGGACTGCTGCTGCTGTACAGTGTCGAAATTAGTTGACTCTTGCATGCTCAAGCCTTGAAGTGCTGCGCCAAGGTCGATCGCGTTCGAGCTTCCGGATCTTTTTACAGCGTTCCCCATGCCTATACTTCCTAGTTGGTCCCCGGAGACGGTCGGCTCAGCAGACGGGCTACGTTTCGGGGGAAACGGACTATGACGGCCACTTGACTCTGGAACCACTTGAGAGGAATCCAAGTGCGACATCTCCTGCAAATGCATTAGTTGCATCTCTACGTTGGACATGTTGGACGAGCTATCCTCTTTGCCATCGTGGTTGTAACTGTACACAGGTGATGGTGTTCGAGGAAAATCTTGCTGCCAAAAAAGTCCACCGATAAAAATTTGAAAACAGGAAACTCAACAAACACACTTACCTGAATGAGATCGACTAAGCTTCTGCCATGGGCTCCAAACCCATGGCCCAAAGCTCCCTCTAGCGCTGCCTTGTGCTGCTCTGGGTCGTCCTCAACATGTTCCAACGAGTCCTCGGGCATTATTGGCTGCGACGCGAACAAGGACCTGCTATTGTTGTCGTCGAAAGATCTCAGCTTCCAGTTGCTATCTTTGTTTCCACCGGCGAGGCGCTGAGCCAGCCTCAAGTTGTCCCACGAGATAATCGGTGGTGGCAGCCTGGGATTCAAGTTTATGTGCGAGTTGTAGTACGCAAGGTAGGCAGGATCCGAGCGCAATTGCTCCTCGCTCTCGTAGCTTTCTTCCCTCTCGGCCAGTCCCTTGGAAATCCTTCCGGGGCCAAAGCTGCTCGGATCCAGTAACCCACTGACCGCCGCCAAGGACCCCTCCACACTCGGCGGAGCACTCTCACTCCTGTGCATGAGAACGTCGCCATTCACCATGCTCTCGTAGCGCGATCGCTCCTTGAGCAGCATGGAGAGCTCTGAGTCGAGTGACGGAGCCGGGGCCCCGGAGGTGCGAATGCCATTACTCAAGCTTCCTCCTGGCATCAGTCTCACCGGGCTCTCAGTAGCCATCGAACGATCAATCCCTCCCGAAATTTCGAGCGCTGCCGGCAAAAAGGCAGCGCCGGAAAAGAATCGTGCAGCGCCTAGCTTCCCTTGCTCCTCCTCCTGTGCTTGTTCCTCCTCCTCCTCCTCCCCCGCCACGAAATCAGGGCAGACAAACGAACCTCGACGCGTGCCGCCGGCGGCGCTACCGCCGTCCTCCTCCAAGCTCAGGCACGCCAAACCCTAGGCGCCATCGCCGCTAGCGCCATCGCTCCACCTAAGAGCAGTGAAAAAAGGGGAGAAACCACACAGAGCATCACATTCTGTGAAAGCAGCACGGTATAAATACAAGAACTGGTAGAACGGTTAGAGCCGTCGGATCGAGCATCTGACGGCCCAGCGCCCACCACGACAATTTTAGGGCTTCTGGCTGCCGTTAACAAGTGCTGTCCGTACGGACGGCCCCCAGCCGCACGATGCGCCATCCGACGGCTGGCGTCGGCCGGCGCCGCTCTTAGGGCTCCTCGTACCGTTTGTGACCGGAATTAGGGCTCCATTGGCTAGCGCGTTTACGTACGCGTACGGTGCAGACAAGCATATCATACAAAAGGCCTTTTATTTTTTCCGACGCGAAGAAAATCGTCTCCACTCCCACAGTGTTAGGTCTTTGAAGAGACGATGTGCGTTGACTAAACGCCCTTTCGATACGATATGATTCCTCTGGAATGTCACATCCCACACCATTATAAGTTCCACGAATATTCTAGAGGCACCAAAATCTTGGAGCTTCCATTGTTTTGTAGCTGTGGCCATAGCTACAATGTTTGCCGGGAAATCATCCTTCATCCACCGGGGCTCCATCGCGCCGCAAAATCCCCACTTGGCCAAATTTCCCAGCCGGGCGCTCCACTTTGCCTCTCCAAGGGCTGAGAAATCCCTCTCTTCATCCTCAACTGGGGAGATAGCCGCCATAGCTGGTACCTCCGTGGCAATCCCAGTAGTGGCTTGGTCCCTCTTCACGCTCAAGACCACCGGTTGTGGCTTGCCACCCGGTCCCGGGGGATCACTTGGGGCGCTAGAAGGGGTGAGCTACCTCGCCATTGGAGCTCTCATCGCTTGGTCCATTTACACCAAAGCCAAAACCGGGTCTGGCCTCCCATCCGGTCCCTATGGACTGCTTGGGGCGGTGGAGGGCGCGTCCTATCTGGTCCTTCTCGGGGCTCTAGTGGTCTTTGGCTTGCAATTCATCGATCACGGCTACATCCCAGGGCCTCTCCCAAACGAGCAATGCTATGGTTAAAAAAAAGCGCGCTAAGCGTGTAATTTAAATCTACTTTGAATTTAACTGGCGCCAAATGGGCACTGGATATTCTCCACTTGAAATTTTTCACCACGACTAGCGCCACATGCCACCACCTTATCCTCAAACACCTTATCGCGCCAAGCGTTCTCTTCGAGCCACTGTGGTTCTAAGATGCTCGGCCCATCGCAGCCGTTGGTACTGCCACGTGTCTAGATCCTGTAAGAGCTCATGAGAGCTAGGTTGCATTTTCACTGTGCTTTGGAGGAAGAGGTATAGCTATGGCGTGCTCGTCGTCGGCAACATGCGTGATCAATTCCGCTAGGGCAGCTCCGGGCGAGGGTTTCAGGAATTCACATTGCGTCCCCGCGGCATTGCGGCCGGGTCTAGGATCTTCATCGCTTCCATCGCTTTCCTCGGGCAAAATCTCGTCCAGGACACTAGGTATGGATGGATTTTGGCGATTACGCGGTAGATTTTCTTGTTCTTGCGGTTTTTGCCGCCCCGATCTGGCATTGTAGAGCGCATTTGTCACAGAGATTCCATCAGCATTGACGATTTCGATCGTGTGCTTCCATCAGCATTGACAAATTCGCACTTCCCATGCTTTTTTATTGATTTCTTGTGTGTCAGAGCTAAGAACGCCCTCTCGGATGGTCGCGTTTGCGACGGAGACATCCTCCACTGAAGCAGCCGCTAACGATTTTTTGAAGAAGATCCAAGACACTGTAAGTACGCTAGCCTAGTGAATGCATTCTATAGTATACTTTTTATCTCTTATTTTCTTTGCCTTCTTCCAGTGGGAGAAAACTGATGACAAGCTCGCAGTTGGCGGCCTGGGCTTTGCTGCGTTGCTAGTTTTGTGGGCTTCGACTGGACTTATCGCGGTGAGCTTCAAACTTCAAGCGTCTTAAACTTTAGATGCCTCTTTCTTACACAGGCGATTGATAAGCTTCCAATCCTGCCTACGTTCTTCGAGCTCGTTGGCCTCTTGTTCTCCTCAGTAAGTTGAAAACTTATCTCAAATTTTTTGCACTTCGATCTGTGACACTTTGATTTCGTTGTCCAGTGGTTCGTCTACCGATATTTGCTCTTCAAGCCTGACAGGTAAGTTACGTTCTACGTTCCTAGATTCCAAAACTAACGCAAGACCGTGGTGATCATGCAGAGAAGAGCTGCTCAAGAAGATCGACGAAACAAAAGGAAAGATTACCGGCTCCGACTGAGTTTTTTCTCCTTCGGTTCAACTTTTGCAGCGAGAAGCCTGTAACTTCTACAACAATAAAAACCTTGATGATTTTCCGAGCTAGATGATCACAACAGTTGCAATCGCAAACACGACTATCTGAGAGGCTGGATATGACACCTGAGAACGAAAGAAACTCCTCAAGACCGAGGAAAACAATACGAGAGAACAAACTTACCCGAGAAGACCACTTCCTCCCCACCTCCGAGGAGTAACGTAGAGATGTTCTTCAACACCTCGCCTCAGGACGATGACTGCGATGGCACGGTTCTCGTGACTCTGGCCTTCGAGCGCAAGCCTTCGCAAGCAATCGTCTCCGCCACCCTCGACGCTCCCAAACTTGACCAGCTGATCTCCAACGACGATTCCATCTCTTGCTGCGGGTGACCCCTCGGCTACTTCGTCAAACACTGCGAAAGGCAAGCGTCCGGGATTATCCTCATCCATAGCTACCGCAGCGTTTTCGATCGACGAAGCTCCTCCACTGCCGGACTGGAAAAATCTCTGTGGAACTTGCTCGCCTTCAGCTAAACGAGAGAAAAAAAACGAAGAAATGAGAAAAACAACGTTTTGCATCCTGGACGATACCTGTTCTCTTCTGCGGGAGAGAAAAATCCAAATCCTTGCTGCCAGAGTGAAGAATATGGATGTTCTTCTCTATCCTATCAGTGATTTCCTTACGATCGTTCTTTAGCACTGCATTTTCACTCCGTGAGAAAAAAAAGCAACTTTGATCGAGGAAATCTAACCAGCCAGCTTTTGTCGATCGCTTCTAACGGCAGCTACGTCAATGTCCGCTCTTGGAAATCCCTGTTACACGACTTGATGAGCTCCTCGCCGATCTAGCTCAACGATTTACCTCGTTATCGACGAGATTCCCAGATAATCCAGGCCCGCCGGGGCGACACAAGCGTTGGATGATGCCGTCCATCTCCTCCTCCATGGCGGTACGCTGCTCCATTAGCGCCATCGTCTCCGCCTTGATGTTAGCTCCCACCATTGCTCTCCGTTAGCCCTAAAAACCTATGACAAAATAGCATACCAATCAGTTCTAAAAAAGAAAAAAATCTCTTACAAACTTTGGAAGTTTCTTCTCAAATCTAGAGACAATGAGGTAAGATCCTGGAGAAAAACTCACAAACTTGGTACCCAGCAAAATTCTCGTCAGTTTCCACGAGTTTAGCAAGATCTATTAGAACACAAGGGAAAAAAAAGAGGACGACGAAGAACCTGGTTCGCGTGTGCTCTATTTAGTGACCGCAGCTTCGTGATCCACAACTCTCGTCAATTTCCACGACTCCAGCAAGATCTATGAATGAACAGCGAGAGAAAACCATTAGAAAACAAGGAGAAAACTGAGGACTACGAAGAACCTGGTTTGCTTGTGTTCTATGTCATGACCGCAGCTTCGTGATACAAAATTCTCGTCAGCTCCAGCAAGATCTAAGAATGAAGAACAATAAAAAGAGGACGACGAAGAACCTGGTTTGCTTGTGTTTCTCCTGCCGATTATCTGTGAGTGTTCTTCCCACATTCCAACGCTCCTGTAAACGTTCGCCATCAGAACGTAAGCCAGTCCCTGTGTAGCGTCCAGTCGCAACGACGCCTCAAACGCCACCTTGGCCACTTCCACGTTTCTCCACTTCCAGCAAGCTCCTAGAATGGTGTTCCAAGTCACTGGGCTTGCTTCGAACGGCATGCTCTCGGCCATCGCCACTGCCTCGTCGAGTAAGTTTGCCTGGCCGAGGATATCCACCATGCAGTGGTAGTGCTCAAGGCTGGCACGAATTCCATACTGCGACACCATAGCTGCGAAAAACTCCTTGGCCTTCTCGACGAAGCCCCCATGACCGCAAGCTCGGAGGAGCGACAGGAAAGTGATCCCATCCGGACGAACCCCTTCTTCTCGCATTCTCTGGAAGAGCTGGACTACTCGCTCGGCGTCTCCTATGCGGCCATACCCGGCTATCAGAGTGCTCCAAGTCACTAGATTCCTCATGCCGCTGCTCATCGACTCGAAAACTTGTAGAGCAGCAGCCATGCTCCCACACTTGCCGTAGAAATCCAGCAGCGAGTTGCAGAGAAATCCATCTCTCGACAGGCCGCGCTTGGAAATCTCGTCGTGAATCTTCCTCCCACTTTGTAGAGCCGAGAGGACGCTACAGGCCTTGAGAGCAGCGGCAAAAACTCGAGCATCCGGGTCGATGTTCAGGCTCTCAAAGAGCTCCAATCCAGACTTTGCCTCCCCGTTTTCTACGTAAGCCACTATGATCGAAGTCCATGAAACCACGTCGTGACTGGCCATCCTGTCGAAAACCATCCGAGCGTCGAGCAAGCTCCCACACTTGGCATACGTATCGATCAACCTGTTGGCGAGAAAACCATTGAAGAGATCCTTCTTCTTCCAAGCCTGGGAGTGTAGAACCAGCACTCTCTCCAGAAGTCCCAGCTTGACGAGCTTCTCATCGACGAGAGTGCCACTCGATCCTTCTGCCAGGCCGGAGATGGCTAGAAGCACTGCGACGTAAGTCCTGGAAGTCGGAGAAAATCCCTGCGATCCCATTCTTTCGAAGAGCTCCCAAGCTCTCTCGGCCTCCCTGTTTGTGGCGTAGCCGAGTATCAGAGTGTTCCAGGACACCACATTGCGGTACTCCATCGCATCGAACACCAGCCTCGCATCGGCCAAGCTCCCGCATTTCAAGAACACGCTCGCCAGATTGTTGGCGAGGAAGGCGTTGGAGAGATTCTTGCTCTCGGCCGCCAATGCGTGGATCTTTCTAGCAGCGCCGAGGTCCCTGGAGCAACCGCATTGCCTGAGCGCCGCGAGGAGCGCTGGAATCTGAACTCCATCCTCCTGTTCTCGACGAAATGCCGAGACGCTGCTTACCTCCGTGTGCGCTGATCGATGCCAGAAACGCTGGAAGGAGCAGCCCCGCGATCGCCAAGCTCCCATTCGAGCTCCATGCGAAATATTTGATTCTAGGTTTAGGGTTTAAGGTAAGCGATGGAGGAGGAAGAACACCACAGCGCATCCGAGGCGGAGGACGATGGCGGCGATGGCGGCTTCCCGATGGCAGGTGTGGCAGATTTCATGAATGTCGACACCAGATCGGCTTCCCGGATCAAGCACGACAAGAAGCTCAAGAAGAAGGCCAAGTCCGGGGGTTTCGAGAGTCTCGGCCTCAGCCCCCCCATCTATCAGGCAATCCGGAAGAAAGGCTACTCCGTGCCGACGCCGATCCAGAGGAAGACGCTGCCGCTGATCCTGGCCGGGAACGATGTGGTGGCCATGGCTCGGACAGGGTCGGGTAAGACTGCCGCATTTCTCATTCCAATGCTGGAGAAGCTTAGAGCTCACAGTCCCAAGCCTGGAGCTCGAGCGCTCATTCTCTCTCCCACGAGAGAATTGGCCTTGCAAACATTTAAGTTTTGCAAGGAACTTGGGCGAAACACTGGTACGTGGTGCTTTTCACTCTCCTCCGTCCTCGATTTTTTTCTTATCGCTTTTTCTGTGTGCCTAGATTTGAGGATCACTGTCCTCGTCGGTGGTGATAGCATGGAGACGCAATTCGAGCAACTTAGCAAGAATCCGGATATCTTGATCGCTACTCCTGGTCGACTCATGCACCATCTCTCGGAAGTGGAGGGTATGTCACTCAAAAGCGTCGAGTACGTGGTTTTTGACGAGGCCGATCGACTGTTTGAGATGGGATTCGCGGAGCAGCTCAGGCAGATTCTAACCCAGCTTCACGAGCTCCGACAAACTTTACTTTTCAGCGCTACGTTGCCAAGGCTACTTGCGGATTTCGCCAAGGCCGGGCTCAAGGATCCATTGACGGTGCGTTTGGACACCGAGACGAAGATCAGCCCCGACTTAAAACTGGCGTTTTTCACCATGAGGAAGGAAGAAAAGCTCGCGTGCCTCGTCCATCTTTTGAGGGAGGTGGTTTCTGCGGAACAGCAGACCGTGGTTTTCGTCTCGACGAAACATCACGTCGAGTTTTTGTTCGAGGTTTTGAAGAGTGAAGGCATCGATCTGGCAGTCGTATACGGGGCAATGGATCAGACGGCTCGGAAGATCAATGTTGCGAAGTTTAGAGCTCGGAAGACTATGATACTCCTCGTGACAGACGTTGCGGCTAGAGGAATCGATATCCCCCTCTTGGACAACGTGGTGAACTTCGACTTTCCTGCAAAGCCCAAGCTTTTTGTTCATCGGGTTGGCCGTGCTGCTCGAGCGGGAAGAACAGGCACAGCTTATTCGTTTCTCACATCGGACGAACTTCCTTATCTACTCGACCTCCACCTCTTTCTTTCCAAGCCGGTGCGTCCAGCGCCAACAGAGGAAGATATCGTCTCATCTCCGGGTCTGTTATCAGAAACTGAAGAGGCAGTATCCAGAGGTGACACTGTCTATGGGCGATTTCCACAGTTGGTTTTAGATACCACTATGGAGAGAGTACGAGAAAGCATTGACCAAAGCACAGATATCTTGGCATTGCAGAAAGCATGCAGCAACGCTTACAGGCTCTATTCCAAAACCAGGCCTACACCGTCTCCTGAATCCTGTAAGAGAGTGAAAACTCTAGCCAAAGAAGGCCTTCATCCGCTCTTCAGGAAGAAAGCCGGCACGGCTGATGCAGCCGCAGCGTTCGCAGAACGTCTCAAAAACTTCAAGTAAGCTGTTTATATATTTCTTTTGTTTTGTTTTTCGTTCCTTTTACTTACATGATTAACCTTATAGACCAAAGCAAACGGTTCTTGAAGCAGAAGGTGAAGCTGCTAAAGCGAAGAAAAGAAAGGTGCGAAAGTCATTCCATTGTCTTATGACTTTAGCTAACTTACTTTTGATATAGACTCCCCTCGCAGACTCTGTGGACGTTATGAAGAGAAAAAGGGAGGTGCACGACAGATTTGTAAAACCCCGGGAAAATGCGCAAAATTCCCTCCGGGAAAGTGTCCAACAGTTATCAACTAACGAGGTCAGCATACTCTCTCAAAATATCTGTTCTTAACACGTCAATTTATAGACCGATGAGTGCTCGATGCCACCAAAGAAGAAGAGTAGAAATGGTTTGTTGGATGCTCCAATACACCACGTAACTAACAAGCTTAATATTTTGCAGGTGGGGATGGCCTTAAAATTATCTCCAACAATTTTCGCGATGAAGAGTTCTACATCAACTCCATACCCTCAAACAGGGTCGGTGAATTATTTCACAGTACATTTCTGCAAGTGTTAAATTTCGTTTGTTTTGTGACAGCACTCGGAATTGGGTCTAGCTGTTGATGCCTCTGACGGGTTTGGAAAGAACAGGTGATGGCACGACTGCATACGGCTTTTAATGGAACATAAATGTTTTACTGCAGACTGGACACCGAAGTACTTGATCTTGTTCCTGAAGACGACTCCGGAGTACAAAAGCAAAAGGCTACTTATCACTGGGACAAAGTAAGCTTCACTTTTTTGAGACTTGTTTAACGTTTTTCCCGGTGCTCTGCAGCGAAGCAAAAAGTACATCAAGCTCAATCGTGGAGAGAAGATAACTGCATCTGGAAAGGTTTGGGAGGCTACTAAAAGCGCAATTTATCTGACTTGGAACAATTTTTACAGATCAAAACGGAGAGCGGTGCCAAGGTTAATGCCGGAAACCGCAACCTTTACAAGAAGTGGTCAGAGCGAAGCCACATGAAAGTTTCTAAGTTTTCAAACGAGAATGATGGTTCGTCCAAAATCGCAGCTCGTTTCGAGTCTTAAACTTTTTATCCGTGCCTGTGCAGACGACGAAAAAACGGACGGCCGCAAGAGGAAGGGCGGGTTCGACAGAAACAATGGCAGCGGAAGGAACAAGAGGATGAAGCAAATTCCAAACGCAGGCGCTCGCAGGGAGCTCAAAGGCGTTGAAGAGGTGCGAAAGAAAAGGCAAGAGAGCAAGAACAAGTCCACAAAGAAAGGTGGTTTTGCTAACAATAGAGGCAAAGGCAAAGGTGGCTCTGTTGGAAGAGCCAAAGGCAAAGGTAGCAAAAGGCGTTAGAAACTTAGGCCCATATTCCATTAAAGTTGTTTTGGCCTTTGAGGAAGGAACATTTTGGAATGCCTCTCTTACAGCACTTCAAAATAATTTTTGTTTTTGTAGTGTGAACTAGAGAGAAATCAAGATGTTATGAAATAACCATAAATCAATATCATTGCTTCAATAGTGCCTTTTTCTATAATATTTCTTGATCTTTATTTATTTTTAAGTGTTTCTTCCATGCCAGTATGTTTGTTAAATTTAAATTTTTAAATTCCAAACCAGTCAATTCTAATATTTCGAATTTTAAATCATCCAACTATAAAGCATTCAATTATAAAAAAGAAAAAGTAAAAATGGTTGAATTGAAAGATAAATTTAAATTGCCTTTAAAGCAAAAAATAGACATTTAAGCAAAATTAATTATATTTCTATTCTTTAAAATTTAAATTGTTTAACCCTCTAAAATGTTTTATTTAAATTTAAATTCTAAAATAAAAACACCACTAATATATTAAAAATTTTGTCTATTACATTATTTTAAAGTTTCATCTTAAATCCCATTATTTAAAAGTTACTTTATATCATTGACTAAAAGGTCTTGATGCTTCTTTTGTAAAGGATAAATTTAAAATATAGAGTTTGACTTTCAAATAAAAGGTAATTCTTTTATCTAATTTTCATCTAAAAATGTTTAAAAAAATTTTCCATTGATAAAAAGGGTCAAAAACTATATTTAAAAGGTAAATTACATAGATTTCTTTCTTTCTTTACATTCTAAATTTAAATTGTTTGACACCAATTCACAGTATTTTAATTAGAAGCATTCATTAATATTATCATCAATATTTTTAACATTTCTAAAGTAAGTCCACTTTTAACCTCATTTTTTATGTCATTTCATCTAAAAAATCTAGAATAGTATTTGTTGGAATTGTCATACAAAGTTGTTATAACCTCATAAGATCTAAAAAACAAAAGTTAAAATTAAACTTGAATAAAACTTTTATTTTACTTAGAAATATACTCCATGAAACCTTCTTCATCTCTATAATTATGTTTAACTTTTCAAATAGTTCCTTGAAGTGTTAATGGCAATTTGCACTCCTTTTTAGTCAAGAATATGCTTTGTTTGGGATAAAATCTATAAACTTGAAAAACTATTCATCTATTTTGAATTTATCTTTTATTGTCAATGATTCTCTATATGTTATATAATGCATACTAACTAGTCCTGGAATATTATTTCTAAAATGCTAGACAACTTTTGTAATAAACCCCAACATAATGCTATATTCATTTGTTGTCAAAGCTACAAGTTTATTCCAAGTCTAGATTTAAATGTGTACTACTTAAATTAGGTTATTGTAAATTAATTTAACTGTACCATTTTAAAGAAGTAATAATTGAATAAACCTTGTAGTTTGAACACCTTTTCCTTTGTCTCTGATATAGCTCTCATAAGGAATTAAGTGTCATTCAAATCAATTGTACTCTTGTCCAATATCAAACTAAAAAAAGAACTTCCTTGCAGCTCTAAAAAAAATTCCTCTTTAATAGCATCCTCAATTGCTAAAACTATTTCTCTCTTTGAGATTGGATTCATGTAAGAATTATATTCACCACCTCTTCGGAAATCTGAAGTACCAACTTTCTTATATCTCTCACAAAGTTTCTCAAATTTGTGTAGTGGTATGTTTAGAGCAACACAAGTATAACTCAACTTTATAACTTATATAATCTTCCTTTCCTCATGTAAAACCAAATTACTTATTGATGCTTCTATTCTCTCTTGTTTGTCCTCTTTAAGTCATTGTTTGTAATTTTTATTCCTCTTTACCAGTGCATGATCACTAAAATTATCATGATCTTCCAAACCTCCCAATTGAATAGTAATAGATTCTACTTTAGTAAATACATTTGTTTTCCTAGCTTGGATACACCAAACACAAAAAATTCTCAAGTCCCCTATGTAAAAGAATTAACAATCTAATTTACCCTTGTCATCAGTCTTAATAAAAGCCCAAGGATAACAAAAGGCTCAATTTAGCTATTTCTTTTTTGATGTATAATTTTCTTCCCTTGTGTTTTCTATACTAGTGTTTTAACTACTTCCTCTTCTAAGGTTGTTTGGGTTTTTCTAAGCCAGTTTAACAATGGGCCATGTTTTTTCCTAAAATCTATAAATTAAATGCATTGAAATAGAAAAGATTCAATGTACAGTATACATATTTAAAACTGGATGAAGATTCTAAACAAGACAACTATGGCGGGCAATTTAAACTCCAATCAATTGAGAGAGAAACACTGTCAGCACCTCGCTCATTTAATTCGGAATATTCATTTGTCCATTAAGAAAGAGAAAATATTCTGAAAGAATGGGAAAAAGGCTATATGGAAACACATTTTTCACGTGAAATAAATTTTGGTAGTTTCTACAAAAGGCATTTTGAAAACACACCCATTTTTGCAAGTAAAATGGCTCAAAAAAGGGGCTGAAGGGCATCAATTTTGTGCCGTGTTCTTTTGGCTCTGCATTTCCTGGCCCTATGAAGCATATCCTGGTTCTTCCATTTCCACTCTCGGGCCATGTCATTCCCATGCTGAATCTCTGCTGCAAGCTCGCGTCGAGAGGTATCGGTCAGATCACGCTCCTCATCAACGAAGATTGCGTAGAAACGGTGGAGAAACTCCACAAGGAGCTCGTGGCCCGCGGAGATCTCAGCAAGGAGGTAGTCTTCACTGTGGAGTCCATTCCGGTCACCTGGCCTCCAGCATTTCGAGGCAGTGCCGAGCAGATCGAGTGCTTGTCCCGAGCAATCGATGGCACGGGGAAGTTTGCGGAGGAGGTGGCCATCCGAGCTCTGCAGAGCACCAGTGTTCCTCCGGTCTCGTTTCTCCTGTCCGATTTCGGACTATGGTGGAGCCAGGATCTCGCCAACAAGCTGGGAGTTCCCAGGATTCTTCTCTCCATCATCGGGTTCCAGGAGTTCGGGATCATCCTCCAGATGCCGCGGCTCATCTCCCAGGGGATTTACAATCCTTTCACCGGTAAGTCTCTCTAGTTTTTCTTTGCTGACTAAGTTCCATCCTTCCCAGAGACCCAAGACGATGATCTCGAGAACAAGTTGATAGAAGTGCCTGGATTTCCAGCGTTCAGGGCCTCTGAAATCCCGCGGATCTCGCAGATCCCGGACGCTCTCAAGTGCTACTGGGACGCGCTCTTGCGATACATGACCCGTGCGAGAGAGGCCAAGCTCATCCTCGTCAACTCCTGCTACGAGCTCGAAGGCGAGGCCTACGACGCCACCCTTCGAATCCACAAGCTGCCGATCCATCTCGCCGGACCACTGCTCGCCAGCCCGCTCGATTCTATTGCTACCTCCGACTGCTTGAAGTGGCTGGACACGATCAGATCCCCAAGGTCGGTGCTCTTCTCGTCTTTCGGTACGTACTTACAGCTTCCATCGTCCGAGCTCGAGGAGATTCTCTTCGGCATCGAGGCTAGCGGCCAGAGCTTTCTACTGGCATTCCGGACGGATGTTGTGGTTGGAGATCCTTCTCCAACGCTGCTTTCCTTTCTGGATCGTTACAAAGAACCACAGTCAGATCCACGGAGCAAGCAGAGAGGATTGATCGTACCTTGGGCTCCTCAGCGAGAAGTTTTACTCCATGGCTCCGTGGGTGGATTTTTCACTCACTTTGGATGGAACTCGGTGCTGGAAAGCCTCGCGGCTGGCGTTCCCATGATCGGGAAGCCGATCGTGGGTGACCAAGTTGGCAACCGGAGGCTGGCGGTGGATCGTTGGAAGGTGGCGCTGGAGATCCCAGAGGACGATGAGAAGAAGTTGCGCAAAGAGGCCGTGGAAGCCACCGTGCGTGAGCTGTTCAGCAACGAAAAACTCCGGGCCAATGCTGCTCGGCTCGGTAAATCTCTGGAAGAGATCGTCCAGGAAAATGGGTGCGCGTACAAATGCTGGGACATGGTTGCTAAGATCTAAGGTTGGCAGCCGTGATGAACTAAATCACATACACACACACACAAAAAAAAAGGCACTAAATCAAGACTAATTTAATTCTTAATCTCTTATTTGATATTGAATTTGAACATTACATGTAGTGACCCCCTTAATTTTTCACTCGAGGAATGGAGAGTTTAAAAATCAACGGTCGAGATCAGCCAAATCATGTGATCCAATGTGAAAAGCCTGTTTGTGAAGGATAGTGTAGGCCCGATTCCACTCACGACCATTGGCTCGCGCTTCATCTCCCCGCGCGCGCATCGGGGCCGTCCAATATAGGCCCGTGCCCCATCGACCGCCGGCAGCGCTCCAGCGCACGGGAGATCCGGCCGCCAGCGTGGGGGCATTGTACGGCTGGATCCCTTCGCTGGGCGGAGCGGATGGCGCCACGTCGGACGGCGAGGGCTAGTGTTGATTCGAGAGTGTGTTCTTTGCATGTTTCCCTGTGACCACTCAAAGAGAGGAAAAATACAGGCAGGCCATAGCTCTAGGGTTCCATCGTCTTCTTCTTAGGGCGCGCGGGGCGGATCCGGTGGGCGCCATTGATTTCGGCATCGGCACAGGTTTGCTCCTCGCGTTCTTGATCAAAAGATCGATTTTCGCGTTCTTTGATTCGCGTGCTTGCTCGTAAAAGGGTATTGCCGCAGGTTCTACGCTGATTGTGAGCAATGCAGTGCTGCATGGTGTGTGATCGGCATGGCATTGCTCTCTAGGCTGAATTTTTCACTCTTGGCTTCTTCCTTGGCTTGGTTGATTCACTTTGTTTGAGAGATTTTAAAGCTTTTGCTGTCCATGCAGTATGTCGGCACCAGGAAATAACAAGAGCAATGGCACGGACAAAGACCCAAATGAGGACAAGACTGACTACACCATAGCCAAGGCAGCGGGCGCGGTAATCGCGACTGGGATTGCCTGGACTGTTTTTAAGACGTTCTGGCCGAAGAAGGCCGACGAGGAATATGAGCGCTATAGCGAGGGAGTCTCATCGTTCGAGTCCGAAGCTCAGGTATCCAAAACTTCTCATCGCCATTCTCGTGCTCATCTCTCAAGTTGGTGCCAGGAAAAAACCGAGGGATTCGCGGACAGAGCTGCGTCCACGATCAGCAA